GTCAAATTAGATAAGCTTAAGTTAAAAACTATACTGGTAATAGATAAAAGTTAGCCAAAAATGACTAAAAACTAAAAAAAATATTGGTTAAAGGTTATTTTTCAAAATGAGATGATGAGGTAATAATAAAGAAGGGAGGTTAAAAAGAAAAGGAGAGGTTATAGGTGAGATGAGGGGCTGGGTAAGGATCACTACCAGATGAAGCCAGTGACAGTTTAAGGCGATGATGTGTTTAAGGAGGTGGATGATGTGCAGATGTGAGTGTGAGGTGTTATATAAAAGGAAACGATGATTTGAAAATGAACAGCTCCCTGGGTAAAACATCTGATGGGAGTCTTACGCTGCTGGCCAGCTTGCTGGTGCTCAGGCTGTGCTGCATGGACAGAGACTCAGCCATGTCGGTCACAGGTTTGTGGATCTTCTTCAGATCGCCCTTGTATTTCACCTGTAGATGGAAAATGAACGGTACGCGTTGAGCATCAGTGGCAGGAAGACAGGTGTGACGTGATGGAGCTCACTTACTTCACTTGCTAACACGTTGGCGTCCTTCATAATCTTGTAAATCTTGGTGTCCTTCAGGTCAAACTGCGGCTTCTTTCCTTTTACCTCCTTGTCAAACTTCTCCTTATACTTAATCTGGTGGATTCAAATACGAACATTATGTAAGAAGTTTCTTCCTCAGGTCTGAATTGATCCACCATTAGAATATATACTGTAACACAATGTCAGAGTAATGTAGTAATCTACACCGAAACTTCTACTACTGTAAATGAAAAATGGTGTTTCCTGAAAGAAACGATTAAAACGACAGTTGCTTTTCCCTTTTTAAAAGAAGAAGCCATTTGTTAATCCACAGTGTGACATCATGTTTGATTGACAAAATGGAATCATGGGAATGCTTTAAAATGAGCGGACTTTGCCGGCACCATTGCAACTAATGCAGCAAATGCAAAGCTTTTTTTAGTTTAGCGAGAAATCTGAATGTTAGACACAGAAAAAGCGTTTCAAGAAAAAGTTTCATAAAAGTTTAGTATGTAGTTATCAGGCTATATCCAAATATTAATATTTGGATTTTAATACTAAACTATTCATATTATATAATATTAAAAAAAATCTGACATAATTAACCCTTGATCTTTTTTAGAAAATTTGTTTTCAATTCGCCAATTTGAACTCAAATAAAAAAAAGAATTCCAATCATAAATGACAAAAAGACAGAAAAAATAATGGCAGCCCTAGAGTTTTAGGGTGTGAACCTCCTTACATCACTAGTCAAGGCACTCATTTTCTTAATGTGGCGCATCTGCGGCGTGTCAATGGAAGCAGCTCCATGGAGGGAGGGCCTGGCCTCCACCTACAAAGCGCAGTAAAAAAAAAAAATGGAGGGATAAGAAAACACAGACAATGGATGTTAGGGAAGGAAAGGAGGAGGG